CCTCGAGGTTAGCAGCCCGATTCGTATATGTATGGATTAATTGCTGCTATTACGTTTGTTTTTTTGTGGTGCTCCTGCTTTCTTTGTTCTGTATGTCTTCTTGTGCTGAGTTCATGTTTTTTTGTGTGTTCTTGTCAGTTTCCACATAGTTTTAATGTTTCCATGTTCTTCTTAGATTTTCATTTTCTTGGTATGTTGTGAAGTCTTAGAGAAATTTTCTTCCAGCAGCTCTTCAGCTATCTCCTATGTGGACTTGTGTGATTCTTCCTGTTCCAGAATGCCGATAATTCTTAAGTTATTCCACTCATGTTTTCCAATATGAATTTTAGACCTTCTTCAGATTTTTTTAAATCTTTTTTTTCTGCTTGCTCTTCTATCTTAGTAGTATTGAGAGATTTGTCTTCCAGGTCACTAGTTCTGGCTTCCGTCTCTTCAGTTCTGCTTCTTTGCCCTTTCAGTGTATTGTCTATTACTGATATCCTATTATTAACCATTTGAACCTCTTTCTTTAGATTTTGAATTGTTTCCAATGCTGTGTCTATCTTATTTGATTGTTCCTCTAGTGCTTTCCTGACTTCTTCCTTATTTTTCAACTCCATTGTGAAGTGTTTTGATACATTTTATAATCATTTTTCTGACTTCCTTCTCAGGCATTTCCAAGGCCTGCCCTCCTTCCAGTATGGAGTGTACACCTACCTCCAGCTCACTGGTTTCAGTCACTTTATCTTGTTTCTGGACAAGTGCTGATATGGTCATATGTTTTTGCTTCTTGTTGTTAGCTGTGGCCTTAATACTTAATTGAGTGTGTTTTTTATTTATTTTTATTTTTTATTTTGTATCCTTTCTGATTGCCTCCAATTAGATGTGATCAGGAAATGGGCTTCCCTTTTCACTCTTCTTATTATTTAACTCAGGATAACGGTTGCAGGTGTTGTCTGCCTTCCTGGTGTATGACAATTGATATAGGTTCTTGTCTGGATAGTAAGGTTTTATAGGGTGTGATTGTAGCTTGAGTACCTTACTCCAATTGTTGTCTCTTCTTGGGTAATATAAGGAGAGAAAGAGGCCCCATAATGTAAAAGGGGGAACAAAAAAAACAAAACAGAAACAGCAAAAAAACAAAAGCCATATTGGATACTGTAGTCTATAATTGCAGAAAAAAGAGAGGAGAGAGAGAGAGGGGGGAAAAGAAATCTGTAGCCTAATGTGAATAGGACTTTAATATCTTCTTTCAGCTTCTTGCCTTCAAGACTGCCTTAGAAATTTCAAGATTGTTGTTGGTTGTTATGATGTAACTCAAGATTTAATTTTCAGCCTGTTTCATTTTTTAGTCTGTCTCTCCTGCTCTACAACCCCCGTTCTAGCCTGTTTCCTAGTGATAAACACTTCAGGGCCAGGTGTGGCTGTTTTGCTCTGCCATTTGGGTTAATGTGGACTCTGCCTCTTTACATTTGAGGAGGTCTGTGTGCATGGTAGTAGAACCCTCCAGTGATGGGGGTGTGGGGATGTGTCCACTCACTCAGGAACCCCCCTCTTGTCATCAGAATGGAGGTGCACTGACAGCAAGAGGCCAATGAACAGATACCAAAACAACAACAAAACAAAATAATGTCTGCAGCTGTATATCTGAGCTTCCCACAGGCATCATTCTGTGGCAGGTCTGCTTGCTCCCCCGGTTGGTCTTGCTGCTTGGTCTTGCCCAATTTGTCAGTTCCTGGCCCCAGAGTCCAGCCTGTTCGAAAGTACAAAATTTCTTGCTTCCAGCTACAAGTTCAAACTGGTGTGATGCTGTGACTTAATGCACCAGACTGCAAAGCCGTTTGAACTGCAGGGCCGGTGGTTCAAGCTCACCAGTCGCCCCTCGGAAACCCTATACAAGGTCACTATGGGTCGGAACCGCTTTGAGGGAACTTAACAACAACAACAACGATATATGTGGTTCAATGTTTTGGAGCTATCCCCTGAACTGGTTTCATCTGATATTCTGTATTATTGCTGATGAAGATCTTCACTGCACTTCTACTCTATCTACCTACCATCAAGCCCCACCTCTAACAGTCTGTGATTTAACTCAGAATTTTAATTAATCTAATGTTTCTTTTTAAATATTGAATTAACATTCTTTTCTGCACTCAGGAGGTCTCATCTGCCAAATTGCAGATGAGTAGGCCAACTCAAAGCTCAGCAGTATTCTAACATCCATGGTGGGGATGGGTTTGGGGGATGCTATTAAAGACAAGAGAAAGATAGAGATCAGAGTAGAGATAAATAAAAAAAAAAACCAGTGGTAGAGATTAGCTCTTAGTTGCCCCATTTAGTATATGCCTTTATCTAAGGATTCTGTAAGGAGCCCTGGTGGTTCAGTGGGTTAAACATCGGGCTGCTAACCACAAGTTTAGTGGTTTAAACCCACCAGCCTCTCTGTGGAAGAAAGATGAAGCTGTGTTTGCTCTCATAAAGATTTATAACCTCGGAAACCCTAAGGATCAATTGTACGCTGTCCTGTAGTGTCACTAAGAGTTGGAATCAACTTGATGGTAATGGCTTTGGTTTAAGTTTTGGTTAAGGATTGTACTGTTTTAATCACTCCCACCACCACTACTACCTAAATAAAACCCTCCTAATAATGTCAGTGAATTAGACCTTGCTTTGCTTATTCTCAGAGAAAAGTAACTTTATAGACTGTGTTCTAGTCCTGTGGCTTAAAGGTATGCCTAGTTCTTTTGTGTATCACTTGGCATATTGTAATGTGCATAATAGAAAGTTACTAAATACTTGAGAAATGAATCAATGAGTGGATGATTATTGTAACCATGGATACACTGATGTGCCAGTTAAAAGTAGCCATAAGCAAGACTCTTGGAGATATTTTGCTGTGCTTTGCTTTTACCCACCCCAGCAGCTCTCATTTCTGCTTTTGCTTTTAGTACCCCCAGCTTGTCTATCTTCTTGTCAGGATTGTTTTGGCCAATGGAAGTATTGTAGGCTTTAGTGGAACAATGAACACCCAGATTTGGGTTAGTGCCTACTGTGTGCCAGATACTTGAATTACCACTCTAGGCACTTGTTGAAGAGATACAGGTATAATAATGATAATTTTATGCATATTTTGTTTCTTTTGAATTTGCAATTCTACTCACAGAATGCTGAGCTAGAAAACACCTTCAATATCTTCAGATTCTACCACCTGTTATAATAATCAAAACTCACATTTATTGAGCCTTTTTATATGAGGGGGATTCAAGAAGTTTATGGGAAAATGGAATGACAAGGTAATGAAATTTTTTCACAAATGTTTTGAAGTCCTCTCATATACTAATAACTCTATAAGGTAGGTAACTTTTGTTATCTACATTTCACATATGAGCTAATTGAGACAAAGAGACACTTGCTCAAGGTCACATCGTGAGGAAATAGTAAAATCACGTTTCAAATTCCTGTTTGTCAGATTCTAAAACCTACCCAAAGATAGGAAAGGATTTGCTAGAGTTCATCTTGCTGGAGCCTAGCTCTTCTGGCTCTGATTTGTATGTGTGTGTTACTACAGTATACACACAGACAGATACATATGATGGTGAGTCAAAAATTATCTGTACTCTGGCTGTAGAATTTATTTTAATCAACTGTCATGAAAGACAAGTGCATCATATTTTGACATGATCTCTTTGCTTCTTAATACACTGTTCATCTCTCAACAAACTTTCTTATTCCCTTATTAACAAATGTTTTAGGTTGAATTGCAAGCCACAAATGCACTGCTGTCTTCGCTTTTTCATGAGAGGTGAATCTTTATTATCAAAGTACTTGCTTTCAGGGAATAAAACAGGTGAAATTCCAATGAAACAAGATCAGGACTGTAGGAAAGATGCTTTACCATCTCAAAACAAAGATTTTGCAGAGTGTCAACAGTGTGAGCAGTGGTGTGTACACTGTCATGCACTGTCACACAATATCACAAAGCTCTTGGATTTGAATCCCAAATTTAGGCTTTTAATCCCAAGTTTAGGTTTCAGCTCTTAAGGGAGCATCTCACTGTTACTAGCACTGTTGATTGTTGAACTTTTTCCTGATAGTGTTCCAGTACTGGCCTTTAAGCATCCCAGAAAACCGTAAGCATCAGTTTTCCAGCTGATGGTTGACTTTTGAGCATGTTCTTGGTTGGCGATTAAGGATATTTCCATTCCATATTCTGCTGTTTACTGTAAGGCTCATTCATAATGATGAATCCATGTCTCTTTGCCAGTAGCGATTTTCTTAAAAGAAACTTAAGTTTCTTCAGGTGGTGGTGGCTATGTGCCAAGCAGTTGGTTCCAATTCATAGCAACCCTGCAGAGGGTTTCTGAGGTTGTAAATCTTTATGGGAGCAGAAAGCCTCATCTTTCTCCCTTGTAATGACTGGTAGTTTCAAACTTATGACCTAGAGGTTAGCAGTCCGACTCATAACCACTGCACTACTAGAGCTCTTCTTTCAAGTATCAGTCCACATTTTGTTTGTAGATGTCTAAGTTCACCCCTGCCCACCAGTGACCTTAAATGTAAAGTGCTGATAAGACAGTACAGCCAACAGAAGTTTTAATATAACCAGAGTATGGATAATTTTTGAGTCACCCTTTTGTGTGTGTGTGTGTGTGTGTGTATATATATATGTATATATATATGTATATATATGCATATTAATGCGGCTACTTAAGCCCACACTGTGGAGTTCCTTTCAAGTGTCATTTTCTTATTGCTTATCTTCCCAGAGGGGTTGTTCCCTCCTGCACAGTAGGGATTGCATTATCTCTGTGTTGCTGGGTTGCCTCTCTCCTCAAAGATTTGCTAAAGCTTTGCTTTCTATAAATGATGGCCTTTGCTTAGCACTTTAGCTGTGCCCTGGAGTTGTATGGAGACATCCCCCAGTATTGTTTTTGGCTCAAAGATTGGAAGGAGACAGGAAGCAGATTTTTTGGAAAGGGTCACCTCACTACCTGCTTTCTGTTTTGTGCTCTGAAACACAGATTGAAGATGGAGGTAAAGCAGACTTGTCCCAGAAGATGAGGACAGGTGATGAGCTGGTGAACATTAATGGCACTCCATTGTATGGCTCCCGCCAAGAAGCCCTCATCCTCATCAAAGGCTCTTTCAGGATCCTCAAGCTGATTGTTAGGAGGTAAGATTCAGGGAGATCTGTTACATGGTTAGAGGGTGTGGAAGCCATTTGGTTGGTAGTAAGGTCTGGTGCATAGGATAAGCACTGTCTTGCTAATTGCAAGGTCAGTGATTCAAGCCCATCAGCCACTCCTCAGAAAGCCTATACAGGGTCCCTGAGTCAGAAATGACTCAACAACACTTAACAACAACACCAAAAACAAAGCCTCAGTAGAGTCACATCTCATCAAGGAAAGTGGCAATTTGTGTGAACTGAATTTTTCAGACAACTGAAACAGAATGGCATAAGAGAAAGGAGCTTTGAGTCAAATCTTGGTGTTGCCATGCAGTAGCCCTGTCACTATGTATAAACTTATTTGATCTCAGCAAGACTTTATCTGATGTTGAGAGGATTAAGTGACTCAATGCATACCAAGGAACTACCTAATAGAGCATTTTTTGTCTCTTCTTTATAACATATATCTATCAATGGATATGTTCTACCCTAAGGATGCTGCAGGAAATTATTACCTGTTGCTTAGTATAAGATGTTCCTAAACTTCTTTGCTCTTCTCAGGACATACAGACATATAATTTCTCTGAAGGTTTTTGAAGATGCGCTACAGCAAATTAATTAAATATGTCTCTTCTAGCCATAGCCTTTGTTGTTGTTAAGGAACTTTGAGTCAATTTCTAATCAGAGAGACCCTGTATATAGGGATTCAAAGGATCAGCTGGTAGGTTTGAACTGCTGACCTTGTGATTTGCAGTCCAGTGCTGTACCAGAAGTCCATAGTCTGATCTCTACGTCATAGTCTTTGTAACTCCCACCAAATGACTTTTTCCTGATGGTTCTGGGTAAGAGAAGGTGAGAAAAGATGCTGATGGGATGATATCATTCAGTTGTGAGTGAATGTTAAAAGGACTGACTATGGTTATAAAAACTGTTGCCATCCTGCTGGGTATAAAATGAGTCATCTCAGAAGTAGGTAGGAGGATCTCACTAGAAACAAGAAAGAACTAGGAGTGGCGTGCACCTTTTGGACCCAAAGATCCCTGTGCATTGAACCTCCTCAACTCAGGAAACAGCTGTAACACCAGAGGAGTGATGAAGCGGTGGCAGCAGCAGAACCAAAAGCCAGAGCATGAAATGGAGCACTGGATTTCCCGGCCCAGTGGAGTAAGAAAGCTGAGTGTCTTTGGACTTGCCGAGTGTCTTGCTTGCAGAGTGAGGTGCCTCAAGGCACTTAACTGGGGAGAGCTAGGTTTGCTGACCCACAGGACTGGAGCTAGAGCCATGTGCCATTCTGCTGAGGCTTATGACAGAGAGGAGTGCCCTTTGGGCATTTATTATCAAAGCTAAAGGAGCTTTGTAACATAGTCTGAGCAAATGAGAGGCCAGAGGGCCTTACGGCGTAGAGGCCAAGTAAACATGAGCGCCCTGCCTCTTCTCTGCCTACGTGACTGGGAAGATGCTGTCTGAAAAACTGTATCTGGTCCCGAATTGTAACTGGTTAATTTCCTTAATAAACCTCATACTTGTGATCATTGTCTGTGAGATCTTTGTGTTCATTTCAATGAAATATAGAACCCAGGTAAGAAGTGAAGAGTGCTCTGGGAGGGATGGTTGATGTCAGAATTGGTATAGGAGTTTAAAGTGTAGAGGCATGCCTGATCTCCACCTAACAGGAATTGGTCTTGGGCTGATGCCTTATCCCTTCTTGTGAAGCTGGAAGAGGTCAGATGATGCCTCTATACCCTTTTTACAGATGGTTTGTGTCCTTAGGAAATAAAGATGTGTGATTTCCTTGAAGGTTTATGAACATTCTGTCTAAAGTTTTATACTGAGGTAGGAGATCCAATACTGAGCTTTAGATCTAGGCTTGAGTTCTTTGGGATGAATATAAGGAGAAAAAACTTTGGAAAATGCCATTTAGATGTCTACTTGGTAAGCTAAGTCAGAAATGTCAGTGTCACCCTCAACTCTTCTTTAGTACCCTATTGTCCACCTACCCAAGTTATTGCAATCCCTGTTCACACTATATGCTCAAATATCTCTGTTGCCTTTTTCTTAATTCAGTCACTTGTGATTTGTCACCAAGGTGTTTTTCACCACGAAATTGGTGAAAAACAAGGCTCCAGGAATTAACAGAATACACATTGAAATGTTTCAGCAAACTGATGTAGCACTGGAGGTGCTCACTCATCTATGCCAAGATATTGGAAAGACATGGTGAGCCAATTAGAAGACATTAATATTTGTGCCCATTGCAAAGGTGACCCAATGGAATGCAGAAATCATCGAACAATATTATTGATATTATGTGCAAGTAAAATTTTGCTGAAGATAATTTAAAAATGCTGATAGCAGTATATCAACAGGCAGTTGTTAGAAATTTAAGCCAGAATCAGAAGAGGACATGGAATGAGGGCTATCATTGCTGATATCTTGGCTATAAGCAGAGAATACCAGAAAAATGTTTACTACTACTTGATTGACTATTCAATGGCATAACAAACTATGGATAACATTGCAAATAATAGGAATTCCTGAACATTTAATTGTGCTCATGAGGAACCTATACATAGAACAAGAAGCAGTTGTTCGAACAGAACAAGGGCATATTGAATGGTTTAAAATCAGAAAAGGTGTGCTGCAGGGTTTTGTCCTTTCACCATACTTATTCAGTCTGTATGCTGAGCAAATAATACAAGAAGGTTAATTATACGAAGGAGAACGTGGTATCAGGATTGAGATAGATTCATCAACATATGCAGATGATATAACTTTGCTTGCTGGAAGTTAAGAGAACTTGAAGTACTTACTGATGAAGATCAAAGACTATAGCATTCAACATGGATTACGTCTCAATGAACAGAAAATGAAAATCTTCACAACTAGACCAATAAGTGTTGTTGTTAAAGTGCCTTTGAGTCAGTTATGACTCATAGCAACCCTGCATACATGTATAGGGTATCTGAGGAACAGCTGATGAGTTAGAACCACCGGCCTTGTGGTTCAACCCCATCTTGCAGATCAAGTGCTTATCCTATTGCACTACACCAGAACTCCAATGAATAGCATCATGATAAATGGAGAAAAGATTGATGTTGAAGATTTCATTTTTGCGTTGATCCACAATCAACACTTAAGGATGCAAGCGTCAAGAAAACAAATGACGTACTGTTGCAAAAGACCTCTATAAATTGTTAAATGTAAAGATGCGACTTTGAGGACTAAGGTGCACGTGTCCCAAGCCATGGTATTTTCAGTCACCTCATATGTATGTGAAAGTTGGACAGTGAATAAGAAAAGCCATAGAAGAATTAATGCATTTGAATTATGGTGTTGATTAAGAATATTGACTATATCATGGACTGCCACAAAAACCAGCAAATCTGTTTTCCAAGAAGTATGACTGGATTGCACCTTGGAAGCTACTTAAGACATGTTGGCAAAAGAACCAGTTCCTGGAAAAGGACATCATGCTTGGTACAGTGGAGAATCAATGAAAAAGAGGAAAACCTTCAAAGAGATGGGTCGACATAGTGGTAACAACAATGGGCTCAAACATAACAATGGTGAGGATAGTGAAAGACTAGACAGCATTTCTTGCCCTGTTGTACATAGGGTTCCTATTAGTCAGAAATGACTCAATAGCCCTTACCAACACAAGGAAAAAAAAATAATAAATAATAATAAAAGTAACACAAGGAAAAAAAATGATAGAAGTGTCTATAAGAAAGACTAATATAATTAACTATGAAAAGTGATATGGACTAAAAAAGTAAGTACCTAGAAGATTTAAAAACAGAATTAGTCAGATATGACATATAGATATAAAAAAATTTTATTTCAGACTTCTGACAAGATGACAGACTAGGCAGACACATTACATGGACCCTTTGCAACTAAGATGTTCTTGTTGTTAGGTGCCATCGAGTCGATACTGACTCATAACGACCCTATGCACAACAGAACGAAATACTCTTGGGTCACAATCATTGCTACATGTGAGCCTTTTATTGCTTCCACTGAGACATCTCATTGGGGGTCTTCCTCTTTTTCTCTGACCCTCCACATTACCAAACACGATATCCTTCTCTAGCAACTGGTCCCTCTTGACAATATGTCTGAAGTATGAGAGACAAAGCTTGGCTATCCTAGCCTCTAGGGAGCACTCTGGCTGCACATCTTCCAGCACAGATCTGTTGGTTCTTTTGGCAGCCCAAGGCACTTTCAATATTCTCCTCCAACACCATAACTCAAAAGCACCAATTTTTCTACGGTCTTCCTTATTCATTGTCCACCTTTCACATGCATATAAGGTTATCAAAAATATCATGGCTTGGGGTTTCTGGTACGGCAGGACAGCCAGGGAAGTAAGGTAGGGACGGGCTCTGGAGAAAAACGAGTGGGAGCTCACAAAGGAAACGTTAAGATACCAGTCCCACAGCTTTTAAACTATCATCAAGTTTCCTGAAGTCACATTTTTGAGAAATGGAGCTAATAAGGATAAAGAAAGGCGCGTATTTTTGGACTTTTGCCTGCGGGACCGCAGGTCGCTCCTGCAACTGCAGAGTTTAGAGGGTGGGGACAGGGCTGGCCCATTAGGAAAGCGGCGTCTTGGGGGTGGGGGTGGGGGGAAGAAGGGCAAAAGGCGACATAACTTCCCCCCCACCCCAAGTCTCCCTGCCCTGGCTTGAGGTCCCAATAAAAATCGGCCGGGTGCAGGTCACCCACGCACAGAGAGTGTGAGAAAGTCGGTGGCAGCTTTTTGACGTCATCCATCATACCCCATCTGTCACTGCATCTGCATCTAAATCCCCTGTCCCCACTCCTAACTAGCAGTGGGGATCCTCCAGCAGCTGTTTTGACAGGACAGGGAACAGAAAAAGTTAACCAAAGCCACATATCTGCTCCAATGTGGTGATTTCTGTCCATGCGTTTATATTACTTCTGCTTTTAGTCCTTCTGATTACACATCCTTCCTGGAAGTGGGAACTTATCCTCCCTACGTC